TATTTCTGACGTTAACACACTATTTGATGCCTGATACTCTGATTCTCAACCCTAAAATAGTGTGTTAATGTCAAAAATAATTACATAACTAGATCACCAAAATGCAAAAGTAAATAATGGGTCATATTCCTTTTTTTATGCCCATTCCAACGAGCTATCACAATACATATATTTACATTTGAAAAAAAAAAAGTTGGGGGTGGTTTCTACCCTTAAGAGAGGGGTAAATTCCATGAAAAAGCCGAAAAAATGTGCCAAACTAAAAATAAAGGGACCAATTTTTTTTTATTTTTCCAGAAAATAAACAGGCTTTCTGATACTAATTCCATTTAAAAATTCCACCCTGTATATTTGGAATCAGGAAGAAAAGATCTTTCATTTTATCCCATAATATACAGGGTATTCCATTAAAAAAGTCGAAGTTGCCTACGCTTCTCCATTTTCCGATGCTATTTTGTTTTTTCTGATATCGTTAAAAGAAAATATAGAAAAAAACTGTCAATTTTTGTATTAAATATTTTTTTTATCTTAAATAGTAAAGGCTGTAGGTATGGGTCCAAATATAATCAAATACCCTGTACACATTTTTTATGCATTTACATCTACCTGTCACCTGAGCGTGAGGATACCTGTTCATCCTGGTATATTATCAGGTGACAGGTAGATGTGAATGCATATAAAATGTGTAAATTTCTTGGACATTGAACTACCTGTATCTCAAAAACTAGATTGAGATAGTTGTGACTATGGTAGTAATTGATCAGCAAGGTGATATATTAAAATTTAAATTAAAACATTCTTCTTCCAACCATTCTCTAGATCCTGATGCTATATCATCCTTATCTTGGACACACTGTAGACATAATAGGTTTTCTATTCCAGGCTCTAATATTTTCTCTATTTTTTTGAATTTCCTCTATTTAAAGAAGTTTAAAAGTAAAACGATTCAAGAGCTGGGAATAGACAAAAATTGAGAAATGGAAAATCTCAAATTATTTATGCATAGAGTAAAGATAATAGGTTTAGCTCGGGGTTTAGGTCTTTAAAAATAGCACTGCCTTTCTTGAAAAAATATGCCTACGTTTTGACCATATATTTGGTCTTCTTCACAGGCTAAAAATAAATAAAAAAACTGGTCCTAAAAGGTATAGCAAGATATGAAAAAAAAATCATAGATATAAACCATATTGTTGTAATCGAATTTCGGAATAATTTTTTAAAGAAGGGAGTTTTATATCTAAAGTCCTGCATTATATCTACCCTAGCTTAAACACCAAGAGGTGTGACACTTCCAAGTATTTTGTACACCTGATTTTTGATTTTCATTACCTTAATGGAAATCAATGAAATCAATAATTCGATTTGGAAAACTCTCATGATTTCACTTGATTTCAACGATTCCCTGTGATAATTATTTGATTTTACTTGATTTTGCTGATTTCACTCGATTTTGTTGATTTCATTGATTTCCCAGATTTACATTGATTTCCCAAGAGTAAATGTGATTTTACTAGATTCACAAAGATTTCATGATTTCAGTACCATTTACTATATGTCGAGATCGAAATTATTGGTAATGACTCATACCATTAGCAACGCTATATCAAGTAAGTGGCATCATAATAAAGTCGAGAAGTTTTACTGTGCCAATACCACCACTTCACAGAAATTACACCATGCTGTCCTGTGAGTAATTTCGATCTTGGGTAGTATAGGCGTCAGGCGCGGGGTGAATAGCTGACCCAAAATGTGTAGGTACACTGAGATCACCGACTGACAAATTCCACAATCTTTAAGAGGGAAACAGCACCCCATGTACACTGTGTCCCAAATTGCTTGTAATCACAGGGCTAGCACTCTGTAACGAACAGAGATAATTTCTCTATCTCTATTACCGTCCCCTCTCTATTGATTTTAAAAAGAGAGAAGAAGACAGCAAGTGCCATAGCAATAGGGATAACGATCTTTATAAGTTACAGAGTCCCAGCCCTGGGTTCCTTCGGTAACCAGCAGAGATAGAACTTTGCGGTTTTCGCCAACCTGTATCAATTTTTCGTGAAACTTTAAATGCCGCAACAGAATTGTGCCACCTTGTTTCGTTCCCGAGATACAGGGTGAAATAGAAATTTTGCGCTTTTTTGGTGGTGGGTGGTATCATATTTCGGACACCCTGTAAGATAGAAAAAATGTGAAAACTACTATAGATAGATATTTTTATGAAGAATCCAGTGTTGTAGTCAATAGTTAATATTGCGTCACTAAGTTCATTCAGATTATTAAGTTCAGAGTAAAAAATGGTTATTTAAAAAATTAATAATTTTATTCAATTTTGCTTGTGGACACTTTAATAGGTACCCATAATTCCATGGCCAACTTACGTTTTTCTTTTATTATTGCGTTTTTAAGGGTAAGTTTCAGTCATAGTGCAAAGTGTGATGCATCATTTCAAAGAGAAAAAAATCCGAATTTTTTGGGACCAAAAAATACAGGGTGTTTCATTTATAAAATACTAAGTTTGGGGTATATCTCGAATGGATTTGTCTAAAAAAATTTTTGACTACAGCACTGGATTTTACGTAGAAATACCTATCTACAGCAGTTTCCACCTTTTTTTTCTATCTTACAGGGTGTTCTATTTCACTCTGTATTTCTGGAACAAAACAAGGTGGCATAATTCTGTTTGCGGCATTCTAGGTTTCACGAAAAACTGGGTCGCGAAAAACACAAAGTTGCTGGTTACCGAGAAACCCTGTAATTACAAGTAATTTGGGACACAGTGTTTGTATTGTTCGTCGATTTTAATCTGATACTCGGACGGAATTTGAGGTGGTGGCTCCCTACATTAGAACGCCAATGGTTACCTGACGTCACACCTGTTTTTGCCATATGAAACACCCCCTCGCTCCTCATACCGCAAGTATCAGTTAAAAATCGACGAACAATATATGCGCATATAGGCCCATTTTATTAATTGGGCCAAAATTAAACAATAAAAAAAAAGAGGCGCGAATTTTGAACATTTCATTGGTGGAGGAACTGCCTTAGATAACAACCATTTCAGGATTTCAACAAATTGACCTTTTGTTTGGACGCTATATTGCGGTGCGCGAACATAGTTGCCAAAAGAAGAAAACAAAAATTACTAGCGGGCTGTCAACATTAAAAACAAAAGTAACTGAATGATTGATCCTCACTATCCTTTTTGTTTGTTTACTTTCTCTCTCTGGATGATAGACAATGAAAGTGAATAGGTATATATTTTATTATTTCTATTCTGCCCAATACAAGCTAAAATTGATGGCTTCTCTTTTCAAAAACATTCGTAATAGGCGGAAAATTTAAATTTCAAAAGTAATTTATTCAGTTACTTTTGTTTTTAATTGTTGACAGTACGCAATTAATTTTTTTTTTCTACTTTTGGCAACTATGTTCGCGCACCGCAATATGGCGTCCAAACAAAAGGTCAATTGTATGTGATTTGTGATGATTTTAAATGATTTACAAGGATTTTCTTGATTTTGATTCATTTTTCGGATAGGCTTAATTTGCATTGATTTCGAAAGATTTTAAGAGGTTTTTCAAGATTTCAATGATTTTAAGGGATTTAATGTGATTTTGCTTGATTTTACAGATTTCGGTAATTTCTATTGATTTACTTGAGTTTAAGCAAAGTGTACACCTGATTTCAGGAGTGTCACACCCCTCGTTAAACACTAAGGATATTATCTGTAAAATGTAAAATTATTTATAAAAGGCGAAACAGGTCGAAAAAGCCAAGTGCCCAGCTGCAAAGAATTCATGTGAACATGTTCTATTTCATCTCATTTAAGTTCAATTAGAAGAAAAAAAATCCTTAAATTTTGAATATATACAGTGTGTCCAAGATAAAGGATGCTTTAGCATGCGGATCTGGGGAACAGTTGGAGTTACAATGTTGGTTAGGGAATAGTTGGGCAATTTGACTTCCTTCTACATAAACTTTGTAGGATTGAGCTTTCTTTTTTCTATTTTGGTTTTTATTTATTACTGAAGTTATTTTGACAGATACCTATCAAAAAATAAATACCACTTTTCCATTATCACATTTTAGGTTCAACAAGATGGCGTTAACATATTTTCACCGCGACGTTTCGTTTCTCAGAAACCATCATCAGCCTAATTTTTTTCAATACGGTCCTGTTATTTTTATTACAAAAATTTGAAGCTATTTAGAATTTTGTATTAGATAATATTACACTTGTAATAGTTCGAATATGTTTTTTTAACTTCTTTCAGCCATATTTTAAAATAATTTAGGAGAAACCTCCTGATTACGGCTCAATGCTTTAAAAATATGTATTAACTGACGTTAAATGCATTGCTTATCTGTCAAGATGACCGACTGAACAATCGCTTCAAATTGGCTTTGGACACACTGTATTTATCACCTTATTTCCCAAACCTGTCTGTAAAAATAAGAAAACGCTTTCCATTTGAAACATATCACCCACAAATCAGTTTCATCATAGTTTAGTCTGAGATTTTGATATTGTCTTTAATAAAACTCAATATTTTTTTTCCACACACCAATGTTCATTTTCTTTATCCATAGTTGATTTTTTTTCTGTATAGGTATAGAATTATTTAGTTTTAATAATTTAAGTTGAACTTGGACTTTTATCATATTATAATGTCCTTCAACTTTCAGAACAAAAGACAATATAATTAAATAATTTCATTGAATTCTCTGAAACTTATTTAATAATGTATTATTCCTACGCTCATAGATACTTTGATCGATTTTTTTGTTGTACAGAAGGTGGAATTGTTTCTTTGTAAATAAAATAGTATATTGGATTATGCTAAAAATAATATGTATAATCAAGCTTTAACCAGGCACAGTTTCACCAACTTGAATATTAATTGTATAATGACATGATAATTTCATAAATACCTACTTGTTCATTTGATCCACTCATTAAATGCAGATTTTTATCAAATCCAAATCGTTCTATTTCTAGGCCCTCACTGAAAAGTCACTTACCCAACGGCCTGGCAGCATCTTCAGCCATCGACATTTTCGAACTTCTCTCCACATATTCACCCAGACCCATTGTAAATGAACTGTTCAAATACAGCCGGAACGGTGAGGCGGCTGCCAGAATTTGCTCGTGGAATTTGCATGAATTTACACAAGATAAAGCTTCTAATTTGGGTGTCAAGGAGGTTATTTGTAGAACAATTCTGGAAAATGGGTAAATATTCAAGGAATTATTTAAGTATTTTACTAACTTGGTTGTTCTTGTAGGATATCGTTATTAGCTGTGCAAGATATAAGAGAAGTGCTGGCGCTGAAAACCATATGCGAGGAACTGAACACACCAACATTAAGAAGAATAGAAGAGTGGAAATATAATAGTCAAAGTTGGAATTTTTGTATGCTTGATGTCCACGACACTAAGTTAGGGTTCATTTACGATTCAGGTGGCGGTAAGTGATATTTTGTGACTTGAAAATGTGTTGACAGTGTTTGTTCATCTATCATTTTAGCTTCAAACATCGAATTGATCTCTCTCATGGAAAGTCCAGAAGACACGCACAAAGACTGTGATGCACTAATAGCCCACTTTTTATTGGGCGAGCTTAATTTACAAATAGTAAACTTGTCATTGAAGGAGGGCGCTGACGTTAAATTTTTAAACGAAAAAATTACCGACCTAATTAGCGAAGAGGAGCTGGTGATGCTTTGCATCGATGATTCCAACTGCCATAGATTTGATGGTAAGTACCTAATTACTTCAAATATCATATATATAAAATAAACTCTTTTCTAGAATCATCTCTATCTTTAGGAGGCCTAACGCCAATCTTTCCAAAAGATACCAACACTTGCCACCCAGCCCTCAAGCAGGATAATTCTAGTCACATATCAAATATCCTTATAAGTGTACCACTAAATAAAAATATGACCGGCCTAAAGAGTATCATCACAAAAGGTACCACCCATTTAGCCATACCAAATGGGTGGTCGTGGGGCGGGCCAGTCGCACCAAACTGTCCCATTTGGGCCGAATTGTTTTTAACTAATAAATCTGATAGCAAAGCTTTGTGATATTTATTGTTGTTGCTTGCAGTTGTTGTTGTTGATGTTTTGTTTATGCAAGCTGTTCCAGAATAAATTGGATCAAAAACTTCTGTTCTGGAACAGTCGGATTTTTTTAAAGCGTGGTTATGACTTTGTGTAGAATTATTGTGAAGTACAAAAAATTTGACATATTTTATTGTAAATATATTTATGAACAGCTATATGGAGAGTTTTATGCAATAGTGAACAAATAAATGTTTTATTTATATACCTAGCGTCTTTGTTTTTCAAAGATTCCTTTACCCTCATTTTTCTACAATGTTCAAGATGTACAACATAGGTAGGTACTTTTCAATTTATACTAACAACATAAATGTTTTTTTAATCAAAAAAAGCCTCTAATCATTTAGAGAGTAAGCAAGACCCGAGGCAAACTGCAAAACCCTTTCAGTACGAATGATGTAATTTTAATTCCACTTCCATCAATTAATTCATGAATAACTGAGCTTAAAAGTTCTTTCGTATAATCTGCTACTGCTATAAATTCAGCTTCAGTCGTTTATAATGTCGCAATTGGTTATATTTTGGATGTCTAGGCCACTGTACCTCTACAAAAATATATCTCATTTCATGAAGTAGGCACTTTTTCTAGTGTTTAAATCTGCAAAATCCCTGTCAGAATGCTAGGAGGCTAGGATCTTTTTGCTATTGAATTCCTTCATTTTTCTTCTCAGCTAAATATCTGAGTAGGTATTCTTTTAGCATTCAAAACATCTGTCTGATGGATTATTTAATGTTCTACTACAAAAATTTACTGCAAACTGTATATCAGACCTTGTTTTGTTTGTTAGGTATAAAAGACTTCCTACATTTTCTCTAAAGGATATTTTGTTTTTATAGTTATTTCAGGATTGTAGTTTTGGTTTAGGACTGACTTTGCACATTCTATGTTTGCTGTATATTTTGTGTGACACAAAGTTAAATATTCTTTTGATTTTATCCCATTTCAATAAGTACCTAGAGAAGTTTTGGGATTGTTGTTCTCAGCCATATAAAAGTCAAACAAAATTGCAAGAAATTAAGTACCTACCTATCAGGTATCTTGATTTTTAAAAATACATTGTTCGGTTATAGTGAAATAAGTCCTTTTGATTTTAGAAATTCGGTAAAACGTTTATTCCTGCTTATTGGTGCTTTTTTGAAACCGTACAAAGATTTTTGCAATAAAAAACATAGATACCTGGTCTTTCGCTTCTTTGTATCCTTCTGATACTTGTAGAGGGATCAACCACTATGCTTACAAATGTACAATGATTTGTATATTTGGCAATCACTGATCAATCAAGAATTGCGACTGATTGCCAATGATTTGTGTTTTCTCGTTAGAAAAAATGCTATTTTCGTCACTCGTTAAACAATATACTATTATAGGACGGTTCTCATTGCCTAAAACTTAGTTTTAAAGGCAAATACACAACTGACCGGTACGCTGTATCGTTTATAATGTATGACATGCGATTTCTGGGTTAGAATGAGATGACTATCCACTGGTATTGGTGTTTGCAGACTTTCAAAATGCGTTCGATACCGTGGAGCTTCCTGCAATCTTAAGATTAGGTACTAAAAGAAAGTACAGTTGATCATCGATATTGTGAAATTATTCAAAACATATATACGGGAACCGCAATGACCACCATAAATCTTCACTCCACCACCAGAAAAATTAAAATCAAAAGAGGAATCCGACAGGGTGACACTATAGGTCTGTTTCAATGAAATTCGCTCGGACTGGTTTGTGATTTCTGTGGAAACAGACCTTATGTCATCCAAGTTCCCAAGTTGTTCATCAATCCATCATCATTACAGTTCTCGAAAATGGTTTGGGATCGAAAAGGAATAATCCTCGATGGGGATCGAAAGTCTTTGCAGATGATACTGTGCTAAGACAGTCCTGGGCGAAGCTGAAGAAATGCTCCAGGAACTTCAAAATTCCAAGCAAGAAGTGGGCCTAAAAATGAACCTCTCCAAAACCTAAATGATCACTCATCTGGTTTCTAGTGAGCAAATATAGACAGGTAATAATGACATAGAAATAGTGGACAAAGTAGGTACCTGGGTCATAAGATGAGAATACACATAGATAACCAAACATATGCGAATTGACGAGAAGAAAAACCTTGGTATGGGCAGCAATAGGGAAAATGACGGATGTGCTTAGGGCTGACATTCCAATATCCCTGAAATGAAAAGCATTCAACCAATGTGTCCTCCCAGTTCTGACCTATGGTGCAGAGACATTGACCAAAGCATCAGCAGAAAAGTTGAGAGTAACACAGAGATGAATGGAAAGATTCATGCTTGGATCTACTCTAGAAGGCCGAGTAAGGAATAATGAGATCCGCATAAACACTGGAATGGAGGATATTGTAGAACGCAGTGGCGGCTGGTGAGAGGAAAAGTTGGCGGTGCACACACTCAGGGGGGAAGCCCCAGAGGCGCGCAAATTTTTTTAGACTGACCCAAACTAACCCAAATTTTGATCTAAAAGTTGTAAAAAAACACCCCTCGGAAAGTTTTTTCACTTATTCTCAATTCAAACGTTGGCATTTACCATTTCTACAAAATAATAAATGAAGCACGGGCGGAGTACGAGAAATTTATTAAAACAGTTTTATATAAAACTATACAGACTGATCCGGATTCTGGAAAATGATCCCCAGGTCTTTTGGGACCTTTTTCAGAATTTTTCCGACCTTTTCAAGAAATTTCCAGGCCTTCTCCAGGCGTTTCCAGAGATTTCCAGACATTATCCAGAGCTTTCCAGAGTTTGCCAGACTTCATCCAGAATAATCCAAACTTTATCCAGACTTGTTCAGACTAATCCGGATTCTGGAAAATGATCCCCAGGTCTTTTGGGACCTTTTCCAGAATTTTTCCGACCCTTTCCAGAAATTTCCAAGTCTTTTCCAGATGTTTCCAGAGATTTCCAGACAATATCCAGACTTATCCAGAGTTTTCTAGAGTTTTACAGACTTTATCCAGACCTTATCCAGACTTGTACAGACTTATCCGGATTCTGGAAAATGATCCCAGGGTGTTTTGGGACCTTTGGCAGAATTTTTCTGACCCTTTCCAGAAATTTCCAGGGTCTTTCCAGACGTTTCTAGAGATTTCCAGCCTTTTACATACATTTTCCAGGCTTTATCAAGATTTATCCAGACTTGTCCAGACTTGAACAGACTGCTCCAGACCTTATCCAGTCATTTTCTGACCTCTCGGGACTTCTACCAAACACTTGCTCCACTTGTTCCAGTTCACTTGGCTTGTTCCAGGTTGTTGTTCATACACTTCCGAAGAGTCCAAAAGTTCGCACGCATTCCTATGTGCACGTGCAATAAACATTTTCAATGTTACTTATAAACAAACAAGTAAACAAACAAACAAACATACATACAGGTGAAGCTAATATTATCGTGTTAAAAATATCTACTGCACTGTCTTTCCAGACTACACAGACTTCTGTGCGGTGCGGCAAGCGCTTCAAAGAAATATGCCGACAAAGATGCCGCGATGACGTTAAAAAATACGCACAATGTCCGCGAACCGACTCTCAAATTAAATTGCCGCAAAAACTAATCCGGGCCGTTCGATCAGGTGGCCCCGTTTATACGTATAAAAACAGCTGGTTACTGGGAGCGCGGCGTGACCTTTTCCAACGTAATTGCCCTTGCAGCGGGGCCGTTGAGAGATGGGCTCGGACGGATAGTCCAGCGAGTTTAGTTTAGTCAGCAGCTTGAATTATTGTCTAGAAAATTTAGGAATAATAACGACAGAAATTTTTCCATCGGGATCAAATTATAAAATGATAAGTAATTTGATCTGACGATTGTTATAACTATCTCGCTTCATCATAGGTTAACAGTGCCTGTTTCATTCAGATCATAATCCTTTAGTTTAACTGGTAGTTTTACTTCTCATCCTTTTTTTGTTCTTCTTACATTTTTCTCCTTCTTGTTTGTCATTTTCAATTTAATTTGATTTTCAGAATTTTCTTTACCATTTTCTTCTGCCAATGGGAAACTTGTCTCAAATGAAATTTATTGAAGTACCTATAGGAAAAATACAGAGCAATCATATGATGGCATTGATCCCAAATGATAGGCTAATGCTACAGGAATATGGACAATAAGTCAATACAAATACAACGACAGCCCAGCATGAATACTATGTTTACATAAAATGGAACAGTTACCAGTTATAGACAGTTATAACAAATCAGGAACATACGAAAATTTAAACAGAATATTAAGTGGTTCAAGCTTAGGTAATACTAAAATACACATACAGGGTGTCGCCGTTCAACTGGTCAAAAATGCTAGGGTATATAGAGGAACCATATAGAAGTAGTTTGAGATAGGACACCGATGGTCGTTTCCAAAATACAGTGTGTTGAAATTTGAACAACCTCATTTCATATCATCTGGAGGACTAATCCTAGGCTAGGTTGTTAAAATTTTCAGGGATTATTGATGTGGGAATGATGTTTGAGAATTCGTATAATGCACCCTCATTTTCTACCTAGAACCACCCCAAAAAAAATTGAAACAAATTGCTTTTTTTTTCAAATTTTGGTTTTATTTATTTTATTTTCAGGTGGTTTCAGGTAGAAAATGGGGGTGCACTATAATATACGAATTTTTAAATATCATTATTTTCTACTTAACTATTATAGATCCATAATACCTAGGAAACGAAATACGTTAACATAGGTACCTATAACAACCTGATCCATAACGCCCACTTTTGCGGGCGTTATGATCTATAACGCTCGCTTATAATACCCTGAGGTGTTTTTGTTGTTGTAGTTTTATTACCACTAACGGCCATTTGCACCACTATAACTTAAGGGATATTTAATCTAGGTGGAGCTTTGAATGTGATTCTCGTAGAAACAAAAGTCACATTCAAAAGCTCCACTTAAATTAAATATCCCTTAAGTGATAGCGGTACAAATGGCCATAAATGTCTGACCGAAAATAACTTTCGGTCTAGCCAGGATTCGAACCCGGTCTATCATCAACGTTTCCCATGTAGTCCAGCGTATTAAACCACACGACCACCACCGTTGCCTTGCCTTATGAGATATTTATAGATATACTAGCTAAACCGGCGAACTTCGTACCGCCTATGAATTATTAAATACCTATTAAATGTTGTGTTAACGTATCTAGTAGATAAATTAAATTCAGTTTTTTCCAATGGCGAATTTG